TATTCTGGCCCAAAAGCTGCCCCAACATTTGCCCACTTTCTGGGGCACTCCATTGCGGTGCCCAGTATCACATCAGAGGTGAGGGTTTTTTTTAAAGGTGAGTTTTTAAAAACCCTTTTAAGTGGGGGTTTACCTTGAGTTCAGTGCTGAACTGTCCAGATGTCATCTAGAGAATTTGCACTAGAACTTTGAATGGGGCCCTACATTGTCCTGACAACTCACCAGATGGTTGGGTGAAACCATTTTATTAGACCCATGTGGGCAATCCCTATGTGGATTAGAAATAGATTAGAAAGCTGGGCCAGAGCTAACAAAATGAATTTCAATATGGAGAAATCTAAGGTACTGCACTTAGAGCAAAAAAACAAAATGCATAAATATAGGATGTAGGGACATCTGGTTTAATGAGACTATGTGTGAAAGGGATCTAGGAGTCCTAATGGACCACAAGTTGAACGTGAGTCAACAGTGTGGTGTGGTATCTAAAGAAGCCAGTCTGATTCTAGGCTGCATCAATAGAAGTATAGTCTCTAGATCAAGGGAAGTAATAGTGCCACTCTATTATGCTTTGGTCAGACCTCACCTGGAATACTATGTCCAGTTCTGGGCACCACAATTCAAAAATGATGTTGACAAGCTGGAACATGTCCAGAGGAGAGTGATTAAAATGGTGAAAAGTCTGGAAACTATGCCTTATGAAGAGAGACTTAGGGGGGTTGCAGACTGCCAGAAATAGTGCAAATTGAGTCCACTTTTAGCGTTAGTGCTAGGGAATCATGGGAATTATTGTGGTTTTTTTTTTTCCTGAGACATTGAGCCTTCTCTGCCAGAGAGCTCTGGTGCCACAATAAAATGCAGTTCCCATGATTCCCTAACCCTGAAAGTGGACTCAATTTGCACTATTTCTGGCAGTCGGCAACCCCCCTTAGGGAACTGGGTATGTTTTGCCTCAAGAAGAGATAGTTAAGAGGTGACATGATAGCCTGGTTTAAATATTTGGAAGGATGTCACATTGAGAATGGAGCGAGCTTATTTTCTCCTGAGCCAGAGAATAAGACCCAGAGCAATGGATGCAAGCTGCAGGAAAAAGAGGTTGCACCTCAACATTAGGAAGAACCTCCTGAGAGTAAGAGCTGTTCAACAGTGTGGTGGAGTCTCCTTCTTTAGAGGTCTTTAAACAGAGGCTGGATGGTCATCTGTCAGGGGTGCTTTGCTTGTGAGTTCTTGCATGGCAGGGGGTTGGACTGGATTGCCCTTGTGGTCTCTTCCAACTCTATGATTCTATTAAACTGGATTATTCCTGCAATGTAGATACAGCCTGAGTGGTCATTTGGAGCCCTCTCCTTTGCAAGGCAATGAAATTCAGCCTAGATATCCAACATAAGCCCAAACAGGCTTTTTAGCTTTGCTTTAATCGATTTCATGGAGGCCACTGTTTTTAATAGAGGCATATATTTACAATTCTATCAGCCTTGGCTCATGCCCATGATTTTTCCTTGTGGCATTCATTCACATCCTAAAACCACTATGCTTTGTCTGTGTGAGTCAGCATTATGCCAGATTTGCCGGATGGAAAGGAACAGGAAAATAGCATTCTTGTTGCCTAGCAACTGCAGAATAGGTTGCAGTTCTTAGGCAAACAGCCTGTGGGAAGGAGACATTAACTTGGCCTCCTACAGGGAGGCATGCTAAGTGAGTGCTGTTCGGAAACTTGTGGAATCAGGAATTTGGTTTGTAGATTCCTTCAGTCTCCACATGGCAGGTGAATAGAGGGTGACAGTAAGGCCTCCTCCCACTATTCTTCCTCAGCAGCTGAGGTTAGACAAGCAGTGTAAGCCTTTCATTCACCCAGTGAGTAAGAATATGAGTAGGTTTTTGGTGTTCCACTTTTGACAAGGAGGTAACATTTCTAGATACATAAAAGAACTGTGCCCTGAAACTGCTGACTACGAAACCAAGCAACAGGGAGGCAAACATGGATTTGCTCCTTAGTGTTGCTGCCCAACATTCACATTTCAGGTCCTATTCAGATGTTGTTGCTTTTAGTGTGACTATCCGAATAATCTCACTAACAGATTCCGGTTTTGTTGTTCACATTATTTTTTTAATGAGAACTTCATCTTTGTGCATTTCTGCGAGTTCTGTTTTTCACACATGTAAGTACTTGAATAAACATGGAGTCAATGATTTGAATGTATTCAAAGCAAGTTCAAGGCATGCAGAGTTTATCCCAAATTATCCAGGGCCTATTCTCATTGGTCATTCACACAGCAGACAATGTGAATCTTTTAGGAAAACTGGGGGGGGGGATCCTGTGATAGATTATTCTGGATTATTCTAGATGACATCTGGACAGTTCAGCACTGAACTCAAGGTAAACTTCCACTTAAAAGGGTTTTTAAAAACTCACCTTTAAAAAAAACCCTAACCTCTGATGTGATACTGGGCACCACTATGGAGTGCCCCAGATAGTGGGCAAATGCTGGTTTTTGGGCAGCCCCCGTTCCCCCCCCCCAAAAAAAATTGGATGCTTTCAAAATGCATATGGATAACAAAGATTCAATCCAGATTCTAAAGGGGTTATTTTCACCATCTGAATAACCCCTTAGTATGAGATGTGGATGTTGTTAAACCAAATGGAAATAGTGACCATAGTGCTATCAAGTTTAATGCTTAGAGAATCATATTTAATATCAAAAGAGGAAACTTCTTTCAAATAAGAAGACTATGGGCCTTTGCAGACTGCCAGAAATAGTGCACATTAAATTGAGGCACTGCCCTGGCTCAGTGCTAGGGAGTCATGGGAATTGTATTTTTTTTCTGAGACACTGAGCCTTCTCTATCAGAGAGCTCTGGTGCCACAATAAATTACAGTTCCTATGATTCCCTAGCACTGAGCCAGGGCAGTGCCTCAATTTAATGTGCACTATTTCTGGCAGTCTTCAAAGGCCTTAACAAAGTGTTGAGAGGATAAAATTGCTTGTGAACTATCCTGAACAAAATAATGGAGATCTCTGAGCATGTAAATTAAAATTTTACAGCTGAAATAGTGCAGAAAAAATTGTTTAAAATTATGCATGGTAGGTACTAGGAACCATAATGCAAACATATCATGGCTAATGGAGTGCACTAAAGAATTCCAAAAGATCAACATGTCTTTTATAGACTATAGCAACGCCTTTGATTGCATAGCTCATGAAAAGCTATAGAACACTCTTAAAGGCATGGGAATGCCACCACATCAGAGAGTCCTGATGAGAAATCTGTACTTAGGACAAGAGGCTACTGTTAGGACAGAATACAGAAAAAGTGAATGGTTCCCAATTGGCAAAGGGATCAGGCAAGTCTGCATTCTTTCACTCTATCTGTTCCACATGTATGCAAAAAATATACTACAAAGAGCAGGCATGGACACAGAAGAATGAGGAGGGATGATAGGAGGAAGGAATATCAATAATGTGAGATATGCAGATGATACCATACTAAATAGCAGACAATATTGCAAACTTAGAACAACTCTACTTAGAAAGATCAAAGAAGAAAGTGCAAAGGCAGGCTTACTGCTCAACATAAAGAAAACAAAAATAATGACCATGGAAGATCTCCACAGATTCAACACAAACAATGAGAAAATTGAAATAGTAAGAGTTCCTGTATCTTGGGTCAAACATTGATTACAGTAGAATGGGGAATTCAGTCAAGAAATAAGAAGACTGGAAAGGAAAAGTCAGCTATGCAAGAATTGGAAAAGATCCTAAAATGTAAAGACATACAACTGAGCATGAAAGTTAAAGTTGTAAAAGCCATTCTTTTCCCTATTACCATGTACAGTTGTGAGAGCTGGACAGTGAGGAAAGTCAATAGGAGGAAACTCAATTTATTTGAGATTTGGTGCTGGAGAAGAGTACTGAGGATACCATGAACAGCAAAAATGACAAACAGGTGGGTCCTAGAACAGATCAAGATTTAAATCTCCCTGGATGACAAAATGATAAAGTTGGGTACTTTGGACATGTCATGAGATGGAATGACTCATTGGAAAAGGCAATAATGATAGAAAAGGTGGAGGGATATAGAAAGAGAGTGTAAGGGTCTGTCTGTGTATTGTAAGTCATCACAGAATGGGACCTCTGGCTGCTGGAGTCCTGCTACCAAAGTCTTTGCGGGAGCTGGTGCGAGCTGCCAGAGTCCTGGAAAGATCAGGGCTAAGCCAACAGGCACAGCCAGCTCTACTCATTCAGGACAGTTGGAGCAGTTAACGGTACAAGCCATTTAAGAGCTGCATTGGCCTCTCAACCCTTGACACAGCAACACAGTCTTCTGTGCTGCCTGTAGCTGCTCTGGTTGCATTTTGCCTTGTCTTGCTCGTCTTGCTGTGTTTAGACTTAGGGGCTATACAGACCGGCCAAAAGGGCCAGCCTGTGGGTAGAGTCAGGGTGTGGTGACCACACGCCAGTTGCCCCAACTCCAACCCGATGCTGCCATCACAAATAGATGGTGTGCAGTGTCAGGGCGTTCCCTTGGCACAGCATTCATACACGCTGTGCCAAAGGAGCACGGAAAAGCTGCCGCCACCGCCATAGCAAGGGTGGCTTTTTGACGCTCTCAAAAGGAGTGGCATTTGCCAGTTCTTTTTAGAGTGGCAAAGTGCTGGATTGGGGCTGTGGCATGTGGTTGCCATGGCTCCAATCTGGCAAGGAAAGGGGCAGCAGGATGCTACCCTTAGGGGCTGTCTGTACAGCCCCTCAGTCTGCTTCTTGACTCTGCCTCCTGCCTCTAGGCCTTTGCAGACTGCCAGAAATAGTGCACATTAAACTGAGGCACTGCCCTGGCTCAGTGCTAAGGAGTCATGGGAACTGTATTTGTTTCTGAG